GATAAAAAAAAAGTTGAGAGAATGAAAAAGAAAGAAAAAAGAAATACGTATATACCTTACTGACAATGGGAAAAAATATATTTCCTTATACACGAACCAACTGCATATTCGTTTTCTTAAAGAGATCACATTCGTAAATTTCAATTTCAATGAGTACCTAACTGGATTCCTCGGACCTTAAAATCTGGACACTCACATAAGTCATGTGTGCATACACTTTAATTATCAAAATGAAAAGATGTGTACAGGTGTGGCATTGCCCCTAAACATATATCAATTTGATTTTCCTCTTTTGCTGACATATAACAATGCAAAACATTATAATTTCTAAATCCTGTACATGGAGCTAGGGTGCATGCAGCTATATAAAATATACAAATATATTAATTTGACTGAAAATAACATATATCACAATCGACAATCAGATTACATATGTACACGAACAAAAGACAAACAGAAAATAATTTTGTCAGATCATTTACATACCACATAGATAAAATAAGGAATCTCACATTTGTCGGCAATGGTCCAAACGCAAAATACAGGTGACTAAAGCAAGCTAAAAATATATGGAGGTCTATAGCCATCACAGCAAGACTGGTTAAGGTATGCATTAACCTAACCTGACTGGTTTAATGGTAATATCTAGAACTGAATTCGGTCTTGTAAGCTTATTGGGAAGGGAAAAAAATTATATAAAAAATTATTGCAACATGATTTCAACTGACTAAGGATTTGAAGATACCTTCTTCCATTACAATATGATTTACTATTTCGGAAAATACCATTTCAAACACATTTCCAAAACAGTCATAAAAAAAATAATGATGATAACAATTACAAAGGACTGTGGTATTAAGCACATGACACTGTACTAATCAACTGACCAATCTTTGAAATTCCCCATTTCATCTGAATAACACAAGATCCCAAGTAATTCCTCAACTGGTTCATATCCAGTTCAATAACAGCTATCTGCACATAATGCACAACCTCTTCCTTCTTATGTGCTGCATTTTTGAAGTTGGATGAATTAAAGTCATCAACATTGATGTTCTTCAACAAAAATATCTCCAACTTCCCTACCCTTCCTACAGAATCTGCCGACTGCTTTACAATGTAACGACATTGCACTTTTTTATAATTTCCAGATACAACAAAGGTGGAAATGTCATTATCTATAGTCATTACCCAATCCTGACTTGGTTAACGCATCTAAATATAATTTAAAAAAAGGAAAAGCAGTAATTTTTCTTTGGCAACATGTACAAAATATTAGAACAGTATGGTATTTGAATTTCCAGCCCAAAAAGCAGCTACAGTTTAATATATCCACAGCAGAGATGAAGTTAAATATGTCCCTCTATCAGATAAAACACTGAGGATGTGGTGGAGGTGCTTAACACTTTGTGACTAATCCTCTCAACAAGGCCACTTCTCTTTTAATAACAATATTAGTGATGAACCCATTAGCAATACCATCGCCGAATTCATGGAGTCAACGCTCACTGCTCCAGGATGAGGAACATCCTCCCACGCGGCCCTCGTGTCACTCCAAGGGTGCCTCCTCTGCATCAACTGTCTGCTCTAGTTGCTGGCCCAGATTATGAGGCCAATGACCAGGGCAATCATGATGCAAACTAGCGTGAGGAGGACCACCTTCCTTCTGGACTTGTCCTGTGAGGTGAGATGGAGAGGATATTACATAAAATCCTAAATAAAAAATAAAAAAAATTACCAGAAGGAAAAGTAGAAGACAAAATTACCTAAGGAGAAATCACTACTGCATAAACAAGGATATGAAAAAATGGAGGAGACAGATAAACAAGAGTTCTAGCACAAACATACATAAGATCAATGTCATGACTGCAATTTATACTCAACCATACTTGCACATCATTATTTTATTCACATGACCTTTTTCAAATACATTCTCACAAATTTTTACTATGTTGATGATCTTTTACATTTACATATCAACTACTTGGACTCTATGCAACTAGTGATTTGCTCATTCATTTACTCAAAGACATTTGTAAACATATCATATATTTATCAATATATTCAAAATACAGTACACCTTCATACTGAGTTCAAAATCAAACCAACCTAAAGATCAACCAGCATGATTTCATGAGGTCATCACAAATAGTTTGATATGATAAATAATATCTGCATGTATCGCACACAAAGATAAGAGGACACTCAAATAATGTCTGCAGAAAATTAATAAAAGAGAAAAAGAGAAGTGACTACAAAGTCGTGTGTAATATTCAAATCTGTCGGAAAGTGAAAAATTCAGAAAGGTGCTGGTGAGTGACCAGTGTCAAATCACAAGTGGCTTTTCACTCACCTTTAAGATGCTGACCAGGCAATGAGTCCAATAACAATGGCCAATACCACTATAGCAATTGCAAAGATGCAAATCTTCTTTCTACGTGATTTGTTCTACAAACAAGGGAGAAAAATCAAAATTAAAAATAAGAACAAGTAACACTAAGAATTCACACGTGTTTACTCCAGGCATTTTGACACTGACCGAGCAAATCTCTTTTTAACAGACAATCATACATCAAGGGAAATACCTTATGAGGAATTTATCACTGGATCTACAAAACAACTTTACCAATGAGCAACCACAAGTAAAATAGGTTTTAATTATATCTTATGATAATACTGATAACTGTGTCAAAGAGGGAAATATATCTAACAAAAGTGACTGGATTTAATACTAAAATATTCATCATACTAAACATTCATACTTTATACAGCTATCTACTTTAATTATTTATCATTCCTTCTTAACAAGAGTCTGCATTTAACAGCCTAATGATGTTGGTGTTCAAAATGAAAAGATAAAAGTGTATAAATCTTTCTGAATTTCTTTCATATCACAAGACCAGATATGTCATAATGTATGGACCAATTTCTTCCTTTTGTTTTACTGTTTCATATGATTTCACACTATATAGCCTAATCTCAAAGAAAAAACACTTCAAAATGCATTTACAATTAAAAACGAAAAAAAAAAAAAAAAAAAAAAAAAAAAAAAAAAAAAAAAAAAAAAAAAAAAAAAAATATATATATATATATATATATATATATATATATATATATATATATATATATATATATATATATATATATGGTTTTCAGTATTCTAACTTTAGTGTGATTTTGAAAGCTAGGAGAGGTCATCAAGGATAAAAATGATTCACTTAATACCATAATTAGCTGATAATCTGAGTTCACACTTTATAACAACAGAACAGCCACTAGATCAATTTCCTTCCACCTTTTTCTATACTTCTTTTATGATAATGTTTTTGTTTTACCAAAATGACAATTTATCAATACACTTACAATGAACATGATCTGAGTTTCCTAATTCACTTACATAATTGTACAAAGTGTAATAAGGATGCCACAACTAACATTACTGTATATAAAGTAATGAGAAATGAACAATTTGATCTATCTGTATTTTGTATGCAAGCATTATAGGATCACCAAGCCTTGTACAGGCATGACATAACTACTGACATCCTTCTTTGGATCTATGCACAGTTCCCTATCAAGAGATGAATTTTAAGGCATTTAGTATACTCATTATACAGGCTTATCATACTAATCATATGAGGCATAGATAAGCAACAGTTCTACTTGCAACAGGCTTGTCCACTTTTGCATTAAATTTTCATCAAAATTACAATGGTACTTACTCTCAGTAATTTGGATGGTTCTCTTCATGTTCAAGGACATAAATGATATTTCCCATGAAATGGACATGTGAATTTGTTAATCCTTACCTTGTTTGATCCTCATATACATATCCACATTCATACACTGAAAAAATATATCTCGTACAACAAATATATATTGCAGTTATTTAGAACACTTGTGACCAAAGCACAGAAAACAAACAAACAAAAAAATGCTACCATCACAGCCTCGCATAGGCTTCACAACATGGCAACCAAATACATGCTGCTTTAGATGCATGCTTTTGCTCCAGACATAAAAAAAAACTTGAAAGAGTGATATGGTATGTACCAACACTTACTGTTTATCAGGTTTCTGGTCTGACATGACTTATTTCTTGTTCCTCTGCATGCTTCTTTAATTTCTAATTTTTCAACATGAAAGTGGATTATTTTCCAACTTCCTTATACATCGCACTCGTAATATGAACGAGTAGGGACTTCCAACAATTCAAGAACAATCAAGGAAGGTTGTGTTTTTTTATGTATCATGTATCACCTCAAAAACATATCAATTATATCAAAGAGTATAGACTTCCAAGTGGAAAATTATGGTTGACAAGCCATAGCAAATAAAAACTAACCAAAAAGATTCCAAAACTTGCCTCAACACAAACCTGTTCATTCTAACTGTCATGTTAGTCTGCTGAGCTTTCAGACTCCCCAAACATTATAATAAATAATAAAGGAAATAACAAAAGAAAATGCAGACTGTGACACAATCAAAATGCATACACCTAAGTCACCTTATGAAAAGAAATGTGTAAATACCTGGTATTGCCGGGCCTGCTGGAGCTGTCCCGCCCCCTGGGAGACATGGACCTGCGCCGATTCGACATTGGCCTCAATGGAGTCGATAACCTCTCCCTGCTCGTGAACCATTGTGGCTAGGTCCTTGAAGATCTGGTTGACGTCCATAATGTCCGACTGGCAGGGAGTAAAAAGAAAATATGTCTAAATATATAACCAAACAATAATAAATCAATACTAGTACACACATGAGACAAGAAAGAAGACAGACCAGGAGACAGAAGGGCAGGGGCAGAGTGCAGGAATGACAGGAACATGATGTAAATGAAGGAGTAGTGTAGGGTATAAGGAGTATGAGTAATATAGGGTGGAGGAGAGATACATGAAGAATACAAATCAGACATGGAACATGATAAAGAAGAGGAAAAAAAGTTATGTATACACACCCTTTAATCAAATAAATGTGAAAATACACAGCTAATAAACCAGCATTCAAATAATACAAGGCAAAAATATCCCAAGGTTCTTTTACCTCCAGTTGACGAATCTGTCCCTCGCGTTCCTGCAGGGCCCTGAGTTCCTGCTCTTGCTCCATCTGTATTTGCACCTGACTCTGTTGTGACGAGCCTTTGTTGTGTGTGTCACCGAGGTCCAAGAGAGCTGCACCATGGCTGGGGTCATCTGAAATGTTAATGGAAAATCACATACCATGAAAAGCGAAGGAAACCACTTAATTAAAAAGACAAGAGTGAAAGACACAAAATCAAAGGAACCTAATTGTTTCCTCACGGTTTACAACAACAAAAAACTATCCAAACCTATAACAAATGCTTACCAAAGAAATGGGCATCTGAATCTGCTCGTGCCTTCTTCAGCGCTTCTTTCTCTTTGGCTGCTGCTTGCCGCTGGGCTGCTTGGAAGTCATTCAATGCCTGAGAAACACATGAGAAAGGTCAACATACCATCACAATACGGAAACATCTGGTAAATATTTCATAAGATAATCCTTGAATTAATATTTTTACTTTTGATCATAAGAGATAATTTTCAAAATTACATTTCCATCAGCTTTCATAACTAACCCTTACATTTAAAACACAATGTATGGTATTATAGATCTTACTATACAGATTAAAATAATTCTATAGATTTCTTCCCTTCATTTAATCTCCCAGATGGGTTTACAACCTATATACATCTGTAACCTGATTAGAAATAAGCCTAGTAACTCTCTTAATCTTCAAAAAGGAAAGATACAGTAAGGCTGAACGAAATTCCAAATTCTTAAAAGACAAATACCACGAACTTCATTTTGTGGTCAGTATGACACATTAGACTTCCCACCAAAGGTATATACTTCTAAATAATAAAACATTAACTACCTGTCATTGACAATTACCTGCGTGAATTCTCGTGTTAGGCGCTCGGCTTGCATGCGCCACGTTCGAGCATCCTGGCCATGTGGCACTGAGAGGGACTGGAATTGCCGTAATTCTACCGTCGTGTCTTTGGCCAAACCTCCTGTGTAGTGTTGAACCTGATGCCTTTGGAATCAAGGCACAAGACTCATTACTCAATCATCAAATACATAAAACGATCAATAAAATAAATCAATGAATAAAACAGTGACAGAATAAAACAGAAGAGAAAGATTTCTACATTATCAGACTACTACAGAAATATTCACTGCCCATAATTTCTCCTTAAAATCTCCTGTTTCCCATCAGCCCAAGCTAGAAATTATAACAATACAAATGACACAGCGAACTTACAGCTGTGCTCGAAGCTGCTGGTTGTCCTGGTCTGTGCCAAGCTGGTTAACCAACTGTTGCATGGACTTAACTGAAATGAAAGAATTCTCTTGTTCAACTGTGCATTATTGCAATCTAGCGCATATTCCTTCCACTCCTTTTTAATTTTTGTTGTGGATGGATTTCAACAGACAAGTTTATGTACCTAAATATTGCATGTCTATCAAGTAAAACATCAAGTAAAAATAATTAGTGACATTGTTCTTACCATTTTGAGAAATTTTCTGGATATTTGTACCAATACTGTGTGAAAATTTCTGTAGCTCTTGACTGCGGCCTCCGCCGCTCTGGTATGACGACATGCCGTCCATATTTCCTCTACCGTCCAATCCAAATTATGTGAATGGCCTTTTTGATCTTTGGAAATTAAAAAGATAAAGGAATTTATTATAAAGAAATAAGAATACCCTGGAGTAAATTTCTTGGGAGAGAATACACATTTAGAAAATATATGCAAATACAAAAAAAAGTGGTGACAAACTTTTCCACAAGTATATACCAAAAAATCTACATCTGTCACCTACAGTAGTCATCTAGTGTTACAAGTCACTGCCTTTCAAATCAAAGAGGTAGATGATGCTGATCTTATGCTAGTTAATGGACGCTGAAGTTACTATGCAAGCAAATTTTGTGTTTGAGTTATATTTCATCTACACATTTGGGAAAACGGAGATGGGTGAGCAGGCTGAATGGATACACGACTTAAAAAAAGACTAGGAACCACTCGCCTATCCATGATAGATGCCCAGCAAGTACAGGGAACAATCAGACTTGCATTCAAGCCCCACTACATTGTCCAACTATCTGTCTCTCTTCTTATCATCCTGCCTCCCTGCTCATTTTCTTACAAACATCCCCGTCATCCTGCTTGCTTGCCCACAACCAGCCTTTTCAAGACTCTTTTTCAATGAATTTTCCAATATTTTTTTCTGCACAAGTTTTTCTGTGTCATATTTCACCCTAGCTACAGAATACATCTCTATGATATAAAATTACTTAGATAGAAGACTATTTCTACTTCGTTATGCTTTATCATTATCAGAAAAATGAGACATTGCATAAATATAGCCATGACATTTGCTGACCTTTCCTGGCAACAACAGTGGCCCGTGTTTAATGTCTACTCTCAAAACATTTAACAACTGGCCTGGATTCGGAATATCCCATGCAAATACTTGATAACTGGTTGATTGAATGGTTGATTGATTGTATAAATAATCAAATAAACTGTCATGGGAATCTATAATGGGAATATGGCACAGTCCCTATAGAGAGAAAAAAGAATTCTTATCTTATCTAATCTATTACTAATATACCTCAAGGATGTCCTTCTCAATAAGTCGCATAAATGAGTCATCAGTGTTAGTGATATTGTGAAAAATGTATTAGTTCTGTGCAAAATAATAAATAATTAAATATAAAGATAAATAAATAAACAAATTCACTGAATCAACTGAAACAAAACAAAAAAATGATATGAAAACAAACCAAAACTTCTAAATGCCATCCAAGTTCAAAAATAATGTTCTGTACATGACATAAAAAGTAAATAAATAAAAATAATAAAAATAACAATACCAATACAACTACTTCTACTAGTAGTAGTAGTATAACAATCATAAAAAATTATAAACATTACAACAATGACAAAAATAACAACAACCATCATGATAATAATTTTAAAAAATAATAACAACAATAATAATGATACCAAAAAACAAATAATGATGATGATGGTAACAATGATAATAATAATATAAAAAAATAATTAAAATAATAAATCAATTGGGACAGATATAACGATGATGATGATAATAATCTTTTATCAGAAAAAGGCCAGAACAAAGTCATTTTAGATTTTAATAGCTTGTCCTAATAGACGAAATTCTAAAACCTTTCAAAAACCTGCAATCAATGAACCGCTATCAACATTTGTGAAAATATGACCCCAAAGAAGTATGCAACTCTGCACTGTATACAAACTTCTATTTCTCGGTAGTGCAAAATAACTATTTTTTCTTGTCGAGATATTTGCAGATGAAAACACAAACCAATTCAGCTGAATATTTCTTGAAATCAGTTAAAATAAACACTCGGGATACAGTTTCAATGAACAATTATATCAGATATGCTACGCTAAATCTAAATCTTCAGGTGCACTTGATATCACTTAACTAGATCAGGTGTAACATGTATAACATCTTGGGAAGGTAATTGCTCTATTGTCTGGACTGACAGGCAGCTCGACAGATTATACAGTTTAGCAAAATTACTAATACACCCATTGCGGTTTTTATATTTCGACATGAAACTGACTATGGTCTGTGATGGATAGCCTGCGATCTCTAGTGCATCCCAAAAGTGGCACTGTGCCAAGCTATCGCCACAGCCTCTGCATGGCAGGCTCCACGGGATCCTAGTAAATCTCTGCCATGCAAATTCTGGCATGATACAGCTTGGACTAGTTCCTTATTTGACAATAAATCACCAGGCAGGTATATAAGGTTCATCATGGCTCAATATATGTTAATGGATGTATTATATTAATATGAATGGAAGTATTACTATCATCTACCAATCTTTCTTACTACTTGATGTCAATATCAACTAAGGGTTAACTCTCACTCATTCTCTCTCTCTCTCTCACTCATTATTACACACACACACACAGGCACACACACACACACACACACACTCACACACTCACACTCACACTCACACTCACACTCACACTCACACTCACTCACTCACTCACTCACACTCACTCACACACTCACTCACACACTCACTCACTCTCTCAGTTACAGATACACACACACACACAACACACACACACACAACACACACAACACACACAACACACACAACACACACACACACACACACACACACACACACACACACACACACACACACACACACACACACACACACACACACACACACACACACACACAAACACACACACACACACAACAACACACAACACAACACACACACACAGCACACATTAAACAAAGTAATAGTAACAATAACAACAATGAATAAAAGAACTTGATCATATCGTTTAAAAAAAAAAAATACAAAGATTTAGCACGAGTCATTCCCAGTGAAGAAGCATATAAAATTCAGGAAGCAGCTCACATCCTGCTAACACGGGCAACAACACAGAACCAGCTTTCAAAATATGAATAAACAAAAAAGCAAATTTCACACTCTAAACATCATCACAAACTGCACTACAAAACCACTGCAACTCAGCCAGCACAATCTTAAATGACAAAATGCATAACAAAAATGAATGGAAAAAAAATAAAAAGGAATTCTCACTATCAGAACCTCCCGTCACTGACACTGCCTCAACAATAATAACAGCAGAAGTGTCATGGACCGCGTAAAGCCACTACAGTTCAAGGGAAGCCACACAACGGCCATGGAGTTCAGACGTAAGCTCAAAGGAGAAGTACAAGGCCAAGGAGATAGAGTTAAGGGTAGCTAGCAATGAAAAGTAAGACTGTACTTGCTTTCTGAAAGTAGTACATCAGTCTATAATGAATGTGGTCTTTCTCTGCTCCCTTTTTTACATAGGTCAATCTTTAGTACATATGCACTAAGCTAGGGCAAATTGAAGCTGATATTCTTGTAGAGGACCAAAAATTGCTGTCATTGGTACAAGAC